AACTACACACTAAATCAGACTGGCTGTTGGAGCGGACTGGATTTAAGACTCTCAACACACAACGGATTTTGTTTATAGTCACTAACGATACAGAAAGCAGCACCGATCTGTTCTGACTGTAGTTACAACAAATGGAATTTACTGCTCTTTGATTATCTGTAGATTTATGCCATATTATTATTTTCTCATTATGCCAGTTATTAATAACCCTTCACATTACTATTTTTCCGTTACCATTCCTGTTAACAATACTGTTGGTTTTGTGTTTTAATACTGACTCTAATAAGCAGCTGATTATCATTATTTCTCTGTACCTTCTGTCGGTGAGCGCTGCTGCTCTTGCTGGGTGCTGAGCTGTGGGTCTGCAGGTCCTGGTCCGGTTGAGCCCAGCGCACTGCTGAAACAGAGCTGCCCAGACTCCCCCCCTCACCCTCCGGCAGCTCTGTGACACACACAGTTTGTATTCTGTTATCTTTTTTAATGAAAGCTGCAGTTTTGGGATGTTTTCACATGTGGAGCAGCTAAATGTCCCCAGTCGAGCAGAGCAATGTGCAAAGATGTCACTATTCATCAGTGGTGTACAGGACAGTATCCAGTGTACGACACAAGCCGTGTGCTGAACTGCAGGACAGGGGCGGAACTAGACCACCAACATCAGGCACTGTGAGTCCATCAGACCATCTCAACACCCGCCCTGTTTTCCTCAGCCCGCCAATCAATGCTTAGCAACCGTTGCCAGCTGCTTTTCAATGTGTACATTTATATTTTGATGGAGAGATGAACCTGTGTGACTTTAAAACACACCCCGAACTTCTTCTTAGTCTTCTACTCGCCTCCAAAACTACGAATAAGCTTTAAACAGTCATTTCATTTTCAATACACTTGCAGGTGGTCATATGAGCTCGTCTGACGGACTAATAAACAGTGTGAATCCACACAGGATGCTGAGTGGATTGTTCGGCTGAGACCAACTTTAACCTCATTATAAACATTACGCAGTAATTTAGTAGCTTAATTAAATAACCAAAGTAGTCAAATCCACCTGAAGACCAGAAGTGAGAGCTGATGTGGCTTCAGTGCGGCACTAAGTGCAGCAGCATTTGGAAAAAAATGCAGAAAAAGTCTTTCATTTTGCCATTTTTAATTAGAAAGGCTGAATCTACAGCTATTAAAATGATCCTGGCAGTTACGTCAGCAGTTACGTCCTCCTGACACGGCTGTGTTGCACTGTGGGATGCCTTATGTCAGAGACAGCTCTGCTCACGTACTGGAATAGCGTAATCCGGGTGTGTTTGGTGTACTGGAGAAATTCATGTTGGTCACACACTGAATATCACAGCCCAAATCCAGTCTGAGCCATACTGTGATATTCTACACAATCCTGACATCACACCCTTATCCTTTCATCCGGGGGACATTCAGTGCTCACAGTGAGAAATACATATTCACACAAACAGGTTCTCCAACTGTAAAACAGCTGTAAAGACTCACTTATCCGCTTCTCCTTCAGAATGCTCTTCATCTTAGGAGGCCACTGTCACAGCATTTGTATTCAACCTACCAAAGAAAAAACAGAGTCTCTAAAATGCTCCTCCAGGAATCTGATATAAAGCTGATATTCAGTTATTCAGTCCGCGAGTGGGGCGTAGCGAAAGTGCCAGTAGATGGAGTGGACGTGGAGGTGGGCTTCCTCCGTCCAGAGTGATTACAGAACACTTTAAGCCAGGGCTGCCCACCCCTGGTCCTGGAGAGCTCAGATCCAGCACACCTGGCTGTAATATTCAGACGCCCCTGAAGGCCCTGATTACCTGGATCAGGTGTGATAGATTAGGGTGGGAGATAAACTCTGCAGGCTGAAACTACACCACACTGCTGCTCCACTACACTCACACACTCTGAACATTCATAATCATAAATCAGAGCATTCCCAGCATTTACGCCCATTTTAATGCTCATGTTTGAAGGAATCTCACCTGATTAGGAAACTCTACATCTGTTCAATCTAAAGCCCAGTTCACACTCGTCTGACCAGACCAGACAGAGGAGTTTTAGACCGTTACAGAAAGCAGTTTTTTAATAAAAATGAATCTACATTAAATCTACATTAAAAGGATGGTTGTACAGTAAAGAAGTTCAAATTGCCTCAGTAATCTAAGCTCAATTATTTTGGTTTCTATCAATCTCTCATCAAAGTGTTTGGTTATAGATAAGAAAAAATGACCTAATTTCTTGCCTGATTTTATCCACACTGTAAAATCATTATTAAACCTACGTATTACTGATTCTTGTATAATACATTAGTTACTTAAAAAAGCTAGTTAAGATGGTAAGATGAAGAATTATTGGTGTTCCTCCACACATTTTCAGTCTTTGGAGGAGAGAAGAGATGAAGCAACACTTAGGACGTTTAAATGACACCAGCAAGATCAAACCAGTCCATTACATGAACCTCTGACCGACTCCAGACTCCGTAATAAGAGATGTTATTTTATATGTTATTTACATGTTGTTTTGTATAGAGTGTGCTTTATGTTGTACTTTGAGTTGTAACTGTTGTTATATACTGTAGTGTTTCACTATCCAGGACTCAATGTTTATGCTGCATTTTGTTATGTGTCTTTGCATGTTTATGTATAGGTATGTATACAAAGTCTTCGCAGTAATAAACTTTCAACTTCCAACTTAATTCGGATCAGTTCTACAGACTGCAGTTCTACAGACTGTTTTTTGCTCAACAATTCTTTACAGTTTTGTTGGCTTCTGTTAACTTTTATGTTTCACATATTTGATCTGTTGTTATTTTTGCGTTATAGCGCACTCTAATGCTAAACTGTAACGTTTGGATGCATGTTGAGGTCAAGGCAGCGAGTTCAAATTATTTAACTGAGTAAAGCGACATTATTTGAGCTGATTAAATTAACCTAAACAGGCTGACTAAACCCTTACATGGCCAGGGCCACCGGCACACCCAATGTTTATTACACATCTATAACCTAAGAATAGCTCAGCTAATTTGCACTGAAGTCCCTGTAGTTACTGAATAATAATTCTTAGTGTGTAATAATCCTGAGATTTTAAGGGGTTTAAGTTAATCTAACTCATTCAAGAGTGAGCAGAAATATCAGAAGTGAGAGTCACTGAAAATTAGACAGTAACTATAATTCAAATATTCAGTCATTTAACCTGAACCTGTCAAGTAACTTTACTTAATTCTTTTAAGGCAGAAAGTTTGCCTAATTTTTTAAAGTAAAATAAACTACTTTAAGTTTACAGTAAATGCTAGAATTATAAACTCCAATTATACAAGCAATATTTCGGAGGGTGTTCGCTTTAGTGGTCAGTTACTTTTAGCGCTGCAGTCATACAAAGAAATATGGCCTTCAGAAAAGTTGTGAACTTGACAGTCCAAAACTGGACACACTGAACTTTTTTAAATGGTTCTTGATTTGAATGTAAGCTTCTAGGTGTTATTGGTATAGAGCCTTTATTTTATGTGGAGATTCTATAAACTTCAAAAAAGTTCTTCACACACATATTTCACTACACAAAGTTATTTAACGAAATGTCTATTAGAAGGTTTTTTAGAGAACCAAATGTGGTTCTTCTAAGGCATCGCTTCAAAAGACCATCTTAATGTTCTAAAGCTGGAGAGATCATTGATCACACAGATCAAAGCACCTTTTAAACCTTCTAAAACTCATCTTGTGCCGCTGGATGAGTGTGAACTGAGCTTTGTGTGAATCTTTCAGGTAGACCTACAGAACCTGATCTATAACCGACTGGACTAAAATGAAGAGAACAGCAGCGCCTCACCTCTCGCTGTGTCTGCAGACAGAACGAACAAGCCTGAAGCTGAAGCTCCTCAGACAAAGAGTGAAAGGACTAAGACTTTCACCCACAGCTGCACTTCACTGACGACGCTGGAGTGACCTTTATCCATCATATCTGCACTGGAATATAATACTAAGGTCAGCTCAACATTTCCGTAAGCAGCAGGTTTATGTAATCAGACAGGGAGGTGTGCAGATTAAAGGCAGTATTAAGGCAGGATGATGTGGCGAACAGGTAACATCATGACACGTGACATTTTCATGGTGGACGATAAAGTCATCGTCAAAGTCAAAGTTTATTTATACAGCGTTTTTTACAACAGGTGTTGTCACAAAGCAGCTTTACAGTAAAATCTGTGTCCGAGTCCCCATGAGCGTCGCCAATGGCAATAAAACCTCCCTAAGAGCAAGAGGAAGAAACACTGAGAGGAACCTCAAAAGAAGAACCCATCCTCCTCTGGACCACACCGGACAGTAAACAGTAACACGAGCAAAATGAGCAGAGAATAAGGTTTTAACATTAGTGTAAAATAGTAAAATACAGAAAAGGGGAAAAGCAGGTGAAGCAGGTGAAGCAGGTGAAGCAGGTGAAGCAACGGCTCTGATTAAACAGTTTGAGTGCAGCAGCATCAGGAGGGTCAGTTCATGCAGGTGAGGTTTGCACAGCATTGTACAGCAAGAAGCTCCATGGTGGTCAGACTGGTCCAGAAGGCTGGTGAGCAGTGGCACCCGATCAAGGCAGAAGAAGAACAGCACCAGACCCACAGGATGGGCAGCTGATCAACTCGGCACAGAGAGGAAACACACAGAGAGTCAGTTCTGTACAGAGAGACTGACCACAGATTACAGTGTAACAGAGCAGCAGAGACTCCAGCAGGTCAAGCTATTACAGCCTCACTAAGAGGGAGAAACCAGAAAGGTAACAGAGTCATGAGGCTCCCTGAGATGTCGGTGCCCCTCCACTCCACCGTCAGCAAACCTGAGTGAGCGCGTGAGCAGCGGGACGACAGCACCAACACTCCCAGTTTACCATAATACTCTGTGACCATGAACCCCAGATCTGCACCTTTTATCTAACAGGGAAAACTAATCACCAAAGGCTCCACTAAACAAGTGGGTTTTAGCCTAGACTAAAACACTGAGGCTGAGTCTGAGTCCCGAACACTGACTGGAAGATTATTCCAAAGCTGGGGGGCTTTGTATGAGAAGCTCCGCCCCCTGATGTAGCTTTATTAATTCTAGGTACTAATAGAGAGCAGCACCTTGTGATCTAAGTAGGCGTGATGGTTCATAGTGGGAGAGAAGTTCACTCAGGTACTGAGGGGCGAGTCCATTTAGAGCTTTATAAGTCAGTAAAGAAACATCTTTGTTTAAAACATCCTATAATTTTTCTTATCACAGCATATATTTCTACTTTCCTGATGTCTGTGACCTTTTAGCTGCAACTTCCCTGATCTGATAATGTATTCAACCCACATCTGTTCCTGAAATACACTCCTCAAAGCTGTGAGCGAGCACAAATAGGATCCATGAGGTGAAGGTGGGGTCAGGAAGGAACAGAAAGAAAAATGCCTGACACATATCATGAATTTTTTTTTAAGGTTTACAAATGAGGTGGAAAGGACAAAATGTACCATCAAAACAGCAGAAACATGTTGGGAAATGCTGTGAAATATGGCAGAATGGACACTACATGGTTTATGTATTTACTGTACACTGATTGCTGTTGTTTACAGGCTCTCTATAGTACAGTGCCTAAGAAGTATTGACCATATCCATCATACACACCCTTTAAAGATGCCAAAAAGGGCTCTTTGCACAGTGCCAAAAAAGAACCACTTTGATTCCCTGAAGAACCTTTTGTATAGTTTAGCACTGGTAGACATCTTTAATATTATGTGACCTTTGAAAGGTTCTTCACCCTCACATGCCTCTTTTTCAAGACTGGTTCTGTGGGAGACTAAAACATGGTTCTTCTATGGGAGGGGTGTCCAATCTTGTCAAAGGGCTGATGTGGTTGCAGGAGCTGACGTGATCAGTCATTTGAAGACCAGCTGATCAAACGAGCAGAATCAGGAGCATGTTTGGAATGTAAACCCGCAACCACACCAGGCCTCGGCACCAGTCCTGTTCTATGGCATTTCTCACAGAACCCTTTGTAGCACCTTTATTTAAAAGGGACCTATTCTATTTATTTTCAATGTTGATACTTTTATTTATGAGGTTTATATTAGATTTACATCCTTCAATGTTACAGAACATATTATTTTCCTCATACTGTTCATCTCTATTCACCCACTGTCTGAAACGCTCTGTTAAATCTCCTGCGTCTTTAAGCCCCGCCTCCTGATGAGTCCAGTGTGCTCAGATTGGTCAGCTCACCCACTCTGTCCTGATCAGTCGACCTCCAGAGTGGTTCCGCCCCTCTATGTTCCGCCCCTGTCCTGCAGTCTGCAGACAGACCCTTCTCTCCTGAGCAGCTGTAACTCCGCTGTGGCTGTTTCTCCTGCGGTGTCGGTTCTGCCGTATCAGTTTGATCCAGAGTGGATCCTGAAAGTCCGGTCAGCGTCTCTCCACACGCTACAGCACTGAACACACTCTTCCTCCTCCAGTAGCCGCTGTGCGCTGTGTGAGGGGGCCGAGCTCACTGGTAGGCAGGCAGTAAGGACTGTGTTACGAGATGATCCTGGTCATCCTGTAACAAAGGAAAAGGGCTGGAATTCCAACGAGGTGTTTCAGGCAGCTGAGAAAAGTGGATTCTGTGGGAGAGAGTTTCTCCCTCTGGAGGGACGCTGAGCTTTGCAGTCAAAAATATGTATTGTGATGTAACATGTCAAAAATAAACATTTTCATCTTCCAACGCTATTTGGATTTAGTGAAGGATTCATCATTGGTCAGTTGGGTTAATGACTGCAGTCACTCAAAGCTGGATGGACACAGCAGTCTAAGTGATGTAGCTCCAAGAACACCTATGAGGTGCTGGAGGAATCAAGTGGTTGAAAAAGTCTGATATCACAACTTCAAGGCTGGATTACCAACATAGGATTCTGCTGAGGATCTTGTAGCCGCTGCTCCTCTATGAATTCTCAGTGCCCACCATCACTGAACTGGGGAGGAAAGCCTCCACCTGAGGTTATGGCTTTTTATTACTATAATTATTATAAATTTGCAGTTGTAAACATGGTGAGGAAAAGGCTCGACTGCATCTAGCTGGTTGATCATATGGTTCACTTTATTGGTGCTGTCAGTTAAGTGTTGCAGTCAGGAGGTATCTGTGTACTTTGCCCTTAAAGACTTGGATGACCGTGTCTGTTATCTGTCTAACACACTCTTCCTGGTGGACACACCAACTGCCAAGGAAACTGAGCAGCATCACCCTCTGTGGCGACATCTACAAACTGAGACTTCCTCTTGAAGCCTGCTGAGGAGGAGTTCAGCATCTTCCAAACAAGTGAGGCGCTACAATATAGAGATTCAGATGATCCTAAGATCTCAGGGACTTGGGAGAGGTAGGGAAGGTAGTTGTGGAGAATGTGGGGTCACAGTTACGATATGCAGACCTGGGTGTTATAACTAGAAAAAGGAAAGAACTGGCAACCTTTGCAACTCACCAGTATATCAAGACCAGCAGCAGCTAGTCCAGAATGAAGTGTGAACAGTTATTGAGGAGGGGAAGTTCAGCAGAGCAGTGGGAATGAGGCAGCAAGGAGCTGGGAACGAGTGGGGTAAAGGTAGCTCATGTGGATAGAGCTATAGCAGGTAGATCACAAAGCATTACATTCTTGGTCCGAGCAGTTTATGATGAACTCCACGGTCTTTCCAAATTATATCATTAGAGATAGGCACCATCTTGAACCCTGGGCAAGAAAAGGAAACTGTGAGGTTGCGTGGCCACAGCGGGCAAGAGGAGGTCCAAGAACAGCCTCAGACAACACAAACATCCCCCAAAAGTCATTGTGTATTGTTCTCAACAAGCACAGAAATGGTCAAAATAAAGAAAAAATTAGAAAATAGTAAAAATACTCCACACTTTCTGTGGGGAGTTTGTATGTTCTCCCCGTGTCTGCGTGGGTTTCCTCCCACAGTCCAAAAACATGCAGTCAGGCTGATTAGACATACTAAATTGCCCCTGGGTGTGAGTTTGTGTGAATGTATATGTCATGTGTTTGCCCTGTGATGGACTGGTGACCTGTCCAGGGTGTTTCCTGCCCTCCGCCCAGTGACCCCTGGGATAGGCTTAAGCACCTGCCGAGACCCAGGAGGATAAGCGGCATAGACTCTGTGTGTGCATGTAGCAATGACAGGGGACAATGCATAAAACAAAACAAAAAAACAGAAAAGACAAAAATATTGGGCTTATCACAGCATGTCATACAGTCCTAGCTATGAACAAACCATCCACTTGGCAATATGCTTCAATACTCTCCTCTATCCAAGAGAGAGTGGAAAAGACCCCCAACAGTCTATAGAGATTATATCCCAATATAATCAATATCCCAGTTTTGCCTGCGAATGGGATCTTTACTGAAAGAATGGGGCTCAAAAAACCAAAACTTCATTATGCAGATTTTCACCCATATGAATAACAATGTTAATACACATCTGTATCATCATTATTGATTCAGAAATTCAGAAATGCGGTACAGATCCTGAACTGTTCATATATATATATATATATATATATATATATATATATATATATATATATATATACATGATTCGATGTTTGGGACACACAAAGCCATAAACAGCATTTTAGACGGTCCTTCTTTGTGTAACCAGTGTTAATACTTTATAGGACTGGAACAGACGTTTCAAACGGCAAAGATTTTTATTGTTCGTACAGAGTGGATGTAGAAATGCTGTGTTCATAGACGCGCTAGTGATGGCAGCAGTTGTCATCACAGCAACACGAAGAACATTTAAGGAACAAAGAGCTTCTCTCCAACAGCTCTGAGGAACCAGTATTGCTGGTATATGACTGAGTTCTCAAGATCATTGTACAGGTCACCTGCAGTGCAATCAGGAACAAACAGAACTTAAAAACCAGGAAGGAAAGCTGGAATAAAATCCCCTGAAGAGAGAAAAGGGCAGCAGATCAGATAAGCGAGGTAATAGCAGGGTCATCCTCCTGATAAGAAACCATCATTCTGGATATAAAACTACACGTTACTTAAGGAGTCCAATTCTGAATGTAGGAGCTGCTCCTTTACATGGAAATGTACTGTAAGTAGCGTTGTGAATCTTTGAACTGACGGCGAACTGATTCGATTCACAAACCATTGGTCTATGATTCAATTAAAAATTATGTTTATAGTTTAAGAATGATTTTATTAAAATAAAATAAAAATATTGAAATAGTATAATGAACTAAAAGATGACAATATTTCTTGGGCAAAAACTCAATCAAATTACCTCAGTATCGTTTATTGAAATAAAAGTGATTTCAAAAGAAATATTTACAATATACACAAGACATTCACGCTTTAAAAAGATGGTTCCTCAAGGGTTCTGCTGCTGCTGCATGAACTAAACTAATCAAATTAATCATTGCTCCACCTGTTTTCCCTGTTTTTGTACTAACAATGTTTACTATCCGGTGTCGACCAGAGGAGGATGGGTTCCCCTTCTGAGTCTTGGTTCCTCTCAAGGTTTCTTCCTGTTTCTCTTAGGGAGTTTTTCATTGCCACTGTCGCCACTGGCGACGCTCATGGGGGCTCGGACCCGGATTTCTTTCTGTAATGCTCATTTCCTTGTAAAGCTGCTTTGTCACAACACCTGTTGTAAAAAGCGCTATAAAAATAAACTTTACTTACTTGCTTCTTTGGTAAAGAAAATGATTCTAAATAGAACCATGAACACTCACAGATTCCTTTGCATGATTAAAAGGTTCTTTGCATGGTGAGAGGGCTCTTCAGATTTATGGAATGTGTTGTAGATGGTTCTACATAAAATCTTTTTCAAAAGGGTTCTATATAGCACTAAAAGGGTTCTGCTATTGTTGCAATATCAAGCTTGCAACAATAGAAGAACCCTTTTTGGTGTTTTATAGAACCTTTTTCAAAAATATTCTATATAGAAGCATTTTCCTTTACCATCTTTTTTAACAGCGTAGGTGTGTGTGCACCAAATAAATCTAAATTTTACTACTGGTGATACACACAATGCAGAGAAGGCATGGGGGAAAAAAATCTACTATTTACAGCTGATTAACATGTTATAGCCATACAGGGTTTCTAATCAACAGTCAAAAGTAAACAGAGAGAACCACTGAAGAACCACTGTTTGTGCTGTTCTACTCAGTGAGCTGTAGAGGGCAGCACAGAGTTAAATGAAAGTGAAAGTGTTTAGAGGACAGAGCCGTCAGGAAGAGCTGAGGTGAGTAACAGCAGATCGGCTCTGTGTTACAGAAACTAGACCTAAACAAAAAATATTATATTTATCATGTGTGTGTGTGTGTGTGTGTGTGTGTGTGTGTGTGTGTGTGTGTAAGGGAATTATTTAAACGCTTGCTATCTTCTTATCTCCTTCCGTTGGTTTAATGGTTTCTATTTTATCAGACACATCTGAAATACAACAAACCCAAAACAATAAAATGTACCCAGAGAATGGCATATTTAACCAACTGTCTCATGAAATTTTGTAAGCTTTACTGTTCTGGAGGTTTTGGTTTCATTTTTGGAGTCTTCATAGTAAACGTTCAGCATTCTGACCATGAGCTTTGTAATATTTGTGTGGAGCTTTAAAGAACACGGTGATCTAATTACTGATAACAATTACTACGTTCACCATATTATATGCAAGGGGTATTCAACTAAAAATGGTATCTTCCGAAATTGCAAACTTAAGCAGTACGTCCTAAATTTGTTCCAGAAAGAAGTACGTACTGTCAGTATGCGAGTGTGCAGTATTGAAACATCCTCGGACGCACTACATCCGCCATCTTACCAGCGACCGCACGCTCTTTGACCTGTGACGTCTCGTCACAGCGTCAACGTTTAAAGAGCTTTACTCAACAAAATGATTTTCCTTCTGTACGTCGCTATGGTACTTACCAGATACTTAGCCGAGTCACCAGTTTTTACCAGTCATGTTTTAACAGGAATTCGAGAAGATAAATGAAAGAAGCAAGATTTTAAATATCAACAGTAATAATATAAAAACGATGTGTCCATTGAGAAACTGTAATGCATTATAAATAAACAACAATATAACAATAAGTGATAAAGCATTTGACTCTGGCAAACTACACTTTTTTCTGATGTATTTATTTTACTCAAAAATAAACCATAAATTCTGTTTAAGAATGACATTTTGGCAAGTGGGCTTTAATGTTACAGTGCAAAGCATGCTATATGAACTGACTTTAAATGAGAAAGATGCATGCATGTGTGTGTGTGTATATATATATATATATATATATATATATATATATATATATATATATATATGTACACAAACACACACACACACATATGCTACTTTTAAGTCCACTTCGTGTGTTTCAGTGGAGATTGCTTACCTTTTCCTTTTCACTGATATCCAGACAGATACTTTGTTCTTGCAGACATACTTCATCTACATATTTACTGCTGTCATCACAGAAACCAATCTCATGTTATTGACTAAATATCACATGACAGCATCAGTTACAAACATTAGAGATTCTTCCTACAAATACATAAATAAATAAAATAAGCCAAACACATAATTACAAGACTAGGACAAGGCCATACCAATTCTTTCTGTTTGGAAATACTGGAGTCCTCAGAAAATCAAAATGTACACCATGACTTTGCATCGACACATACTCAAATACTTAAGTTTTCTCACAAAATTTAATAATGGCAGTGGACTTTGCAGCTGCTTCATTTTAATACTTATTTTTTTAAAAAGCATATCTAAAATGATTGTTCCAAGAGGTGGAGTAGGCTGCCGTCACGACTGCTCCAATCACACTTTGCTATCTTTTGCCTTTTTATTTATTTTTCTTCTCACTTTAGACTCTATCTTCTCACAATGACATGTGTTAGTTATGATAGAAACACTCTTGTTTCTTTAAATCTACAATTCACTCACTTTTCGTCACTTTTAACTTTGAGCCTTAAGCGGCCGAGTGAGATCCTGCGGAGGAACAAAGGAAGATACGCAAAGCGATGTCCCAGAGGAAAGTGGGCCGGCATCAGGAACAGGTGAGCACCACTGCCTAGCATACTGCTAGCCAATGTTCAGTCTCTGGAGAACAAGCTGATGATCTCCGGGCCAGGGTCAAGTTCCAGAGGCACATTTGGGCCTGCAACTTCCATTGCTTCTCTGAATCATGGCTGAGCCCAACAGTGCTGAACCACGCCATTCAGCCAGCTGAGTTCGTCTCAGTTTACCGCATGGACAGGACAGCGTAGTCGGGGGAGTCACGAAGAAACAGGAAGCTCCTGTTCAGAGGGAGATCCTGTGCTGGACGGACCAATCAGTGGCCGACCTTCAGGATGCTCTTGATCACGCAGACTGGGATGTGTTCCGGTGCAGCTTTGAGGACATCAGCGTGTTTACGGAAGGGGTCATGAGTTTCTTCGGGAAACTGATAGACGATATGGTCCCAAAAATCACCGTAAGGACGTTTCCCAGCTAGAAGCCATGGGTGGATAAAACCATTCGCGATGCTCTGAACTCTCGCACCACTGCCTACGTTGTGGGGCTCAGCAGCAGCATGGATGAATACAAGGCTGCAACAAAGTGGCTCTAGAGCACTGTGGCAGGGGCTGCAGAGGATAACAGACTTCAAAACCCACCCTCCGGGATAGTGAGCCCAGACCTGTCTCTAGCAAACAAACTGAACACCTTCTACGCTCACTTTGAGGCTGCAGTTGGCAGCGCAAGCAGAGTAATCAGCGCTAGTGCTAGCAGGGCTAACAGTGGCCGGCGGAGCATGTGCGGATCCCGTAAGTGGACAGAGTCCTCAAAACCTGCGTTTTCCAGCTTGCTACGGTATTTGCTGAAATGTTTAACATCTCCCTGACACTTGGAGTCGTTCCAACATACTTTAAACAGTCTGTCATCGTCCCTTTCCCAAAGAAACCCCAGCCAGTCGGCCTTAATGACTATGATGAAGTTCTTTGAAAAGCTGATCAGAGACTTCATCACCTCTTCATGGCTGGTCTCCCTGGATCCACTATAGTTTGCATACTGCCCCAACTGCTGTACAGATAATGCCATCACACATCTGCTCCACACAACACTGCCCCACCTGGACACTAGGAGGGATAATTAGGATAAAATGCTATTTGTTAATTACAGCTCAGCGTTCAACACTATTATCCCAAACTTCACACCAAGTTGGACGATCTGGGACTTCATCCATCCCTGTGTCACTGGATCTCCAACTTCCTGACAGACAGACCACAAGCTGTGCAGGTAGGAAAACACATCTCACCAACCCTTACCCTCAGCACTGGAGCCCCTCAGAGCTGTGTCCTGAACCCCCTGCTGTATTCACTGTACACATATGACTGTGTGGCCACTTCCAGCTCTACCACCATTGTCAAGTTCGCTGATGACACTGTTGTAGTAGGTCTAATCTCTGACAATGATGAGAGGGCCTACCTGGAGGAGATTAAGCACCTGGAGAATTGGTGTCAGGATAATAATCTCCTCCTGTCTCAGCAAGACTAAGGAGCTGATAGTGGACTACAGCAAGAACCAGGAGAGGAGTTACCATCCTTTATGAATAAATGGAGCTACAGTGGAAAGAGTGGACAGTTTCAAATACCTTGGAGTTCACATATCGCATGACCTGTCATGGTCTGGCCACATCAACTCTCTGGTGAAGAAGTATACCTGCACCATTGAAAGCATCCTCACATTTCACTGACATTTTGCTTGTAATCTTAACAAAACCAGCCTACATTGCATTTCACTCTGATGTTGTCCCATTTACCTTGCCCTCCTTCTGCTCCACCACAAAGGCTCTACAAACAATACACACAAGACAGTTAACAAAGTACAGTGGAAGCTTTCCTGTTCAAAATAAAGTATATTATCATTTAAATTATCTGTCAGTGATATCTGGAATAAGGAAAAGGCTCACCACTATAGCATGTTGGCCATCAGAAACATAGCTTTTGAATTTAATGCAGATTTTGGCTTTAAATATTGACTGAATTCCTCTGATTGAAGTTTTTTTAAACTGGTGAACAAGGCCTCGCTTGCTATTCTCCTATCAGTGGCGTTTTAAAACTTGGTTATGCTGTGACATTTTGATTTCCATTTTCTGACATAGCTAGCTAATTGTTTGTGGTCTGGGAAGAACCACGTAGCGTCTCTGACATAATGTGCCAGCTAACGTTAGCTGTTCATACAAAGCTGATCATGTAGGAATTATTTCGGTTTATTGCCTGTAGCAGTGGCTTTTTAAAGATGAGTACAAATTTCAGCTGCAGAAAAAAATGCTTTTAGCTTTATGTTAGTTGGCTAACAGTTTGGGATAATAGCTACAGTTAGCAATGTTTTCTAGCCAGTGCAGCTAGCTTAATATAAACAAATTCTATCAAATTCATACTACATGTAAAAGTTACTTTTCGGCATTGGCTACCCCTCATAACCTGTCCATTTTTGATGCTCTGTAAAGTGACTTTGAGCTCTGGAAAGGCGCTAAACAAATAAAAGCATATTACTATTAATTTTGAACTGAAATGGGGAGAAAAATGCAGAGTTCTCTGTTCATTCATTTTTAAACTGTTTTTGTCATGTACTTTCCCTTTTTTAAGAAGCCTAGTTCACTACTTAGACCAGAAATAGCATATAAGATTATAGGTCTATATGTATATGTAAATATATTCTTTTTCAGATCTGAGGTCTGCTCTGTATTCTATTTTCTGATTTGTTGTAAATCGTTTATATAAAGGCATGTAATTGGATAAACTGTAAAACAGCTGTATGGCTGCTTCATCTTTATGTGTGTCACTGAAAAATGATACAGATAAGGAATTTTTTCCAGTTCTGTTTGGTCTGCTTAAATGCTTTGACACCCCCTAATATTTTACACCGCTAATAATACAGCTTTATAGTTTTTGTTGCATGTCTCTGGTATTTTCTTCCTTAACCTATATTCTTTTTACATTCACAACATTTTTTGGTTATGTGCATCATGCCACTATTAAAAATAGAGCTGACATCTGTCTTACAGAAAAACGGACTGCAGCTTTCACTCTGTAGAGGACATCAAAAAGAGGCCACTGAAAATGATACAATTTTCTCGCAACCCTACTGTCAGTTCTTCTGAAGAGATCACAGGTGAGTGTCTTTTGTTTTCCTGTGTCAATTAGCATATTTATTGAAGAATTTAAAAGATTATGAGTATGTCTGGCATGATTTGTTGTCTGTGTAGACTGTGCTGCACACACTGCAGGAGGAGAATGAATCAACAGAATCTAAACAACAGTGTTTAACTGCACCTTGATTTAGACTTTTACTTCTATGTTTACACTAGATCAGTGGTTCTGGTCCAGGAGTACCACTGTCCTGCATGTTAAATTGCTTTCGATCACACCAAGTTCAGCTTGTTAATCAGTGTATTAGTTCCATCAGGTGTACTGTGAGCAGGGAATGTGCAGGGCAGTGATACTCTAGGACCAGGACTGAGAACCACTGCACTAAATTGTGGAACGCAGCTGCTGGGATTCACTTTCATTCAGCCAAAGGAGCATTAATAAAGTCAGGTACTCATATTAGATGGTAAGTTCTGGCTCACAGTCAGCATTCTAGTTCATCCTAAAGTTGTTGGATGGGGTTGAGGTCAGGGCGTTGTGCAGGCCAGCACAGTGAAAGACACTGTTGTATGCAACTGTTAGTAATGTGTAGCCAAACTCACTTTTTTTATTTTTAACCTGAGGGTACACTGCAGGTAGCCCTCATTTATAATGTGGTGAAGCATTATACAAAAAAACAAGGGACTAAAAAGATTAAATATATATTTGGAAAAACAGTATGGAAGACAGAATAAAATTTAGGCATGTCAGGCAAATTTGACAATCAAATCGAAACAAAAAATAAAATTAGTACAATAATAAAGAAATCAATATAAAACAACATTAAAATAGAAAAAAAAGACAAATAACACAATTAACAAAATGACCTGAGACATAAAATAAATTGAAAACTGACTGGAGGTGGTTAGAGATCGATGTGTAAAATTGTTGAGTGACACAAGTGAGTGGAGCTTAAGATTGAGCACATAGTGAACAAAAAGCAGATTTTCCCAGTTCAGTAAAACTCTGGAGACAAGTGAAGGGTGATCCGGTTACTGGAACAAGTCTGACAATTTATATTATTTACATTGATGTACACTGATGTCATATAAGTTTGTGTTATCCTGTCGTATTGCCAGAAAGGACCAACTTAAATTTACATAGTGTGCAGTGGTGAGTGCTGTAAGAGTCACTTATGATGCATCTCAGAGAAGAGCAATAGAGTTGAGAGATTCAGTACAATAAATAGCAATTTGATTTGGCAATTTAATACAATGATTCAACCCAAATATTTGGGAATTGAACCCAGGCTCTTCTTGCTGTGAGGCGACAACACTACCCACTGCGCCACCATGTACTGGGGAACTGACAGTAACATATGTGCAAAATATGCAGCATCCTCAGAGGTATAGGTCTAGTGCGTAGATTATACTTATGTGTAAACATTGCATGAATGTCCATGTGTTCATTCCAAGCAGAAACATGGCGAGAATTAGGAATTAAAGTGCAGTGTGCATATGTTACGCCCCTGAGAGAGGGAATGATAGAGATAATTAGTTTTAAAGCAAACACAGGACACAATGCGTACTGCTCACAGCTGCATTACTTTATAAGTGATCTGATATTATGCACAGATATAGGATTCATTACATTAAACTCTCTATATAATGCATTAGAAAAGCATACACTGTTCATGTGTTGAGGTAACACACATATTTGGCAACCATAACAAAATAATGTGCTTCACAACTTTTCAAAAGAAAAGAAAAGAAATATGCAAATTAAATACAGAAGCTCTCATTAGTTTGCTCAATACTTACTCACGGTATTGTTACTCACTTTTAGCCTAGCACAGTTACGAGTAGTACAATGTTAATACTCTCCCCATATTTAACACAATTTATACAGAACAATAGTACCCAATCAACTCAGTACCTAAAGCTGTTGAACTCCATATACCTCGTATTAACTCATAATATATAACTTAGAGCAGCAAATCTATACATCACAACAGGCTTAACAATAAACAACAGGCGTGTTTGCATTGTTTAGCTGAGCTACATAGCCTTTTAACATTACTCACTCCAAAAAAGTATAGCTCAGTACAAAATGACTAAAGTAGTTTCAGTATCAAATATGAACAGTGAAAAATTAATAAAACTTACAGCTGCTACATAAATTCCTTGTTAAATGAGCATAAAACTCCTTAGAACGAGGCTGGGTAGCTTATTTTGCTGTTCTAACTTTTGTCAGAGCACCAGGTCAATGAACTAAGCTAGTGACTTGCAGTTCAGAAACGCCAGATAAAGTCACTAAATTTTCTATTAAAACCACAATTAAACAGGATTTCACAAACAAGAACACTTCTTTAAACATCATTTGCAGTTACGCCCCTGAGAGAGGGAATGATAGAGAACATTAGTTTTAAAGCAAACACAGGACACAATGCGTACTGCTCACATTCTGCATTACTTTATAAGTGAAACGTACATTCTCTAGATTCCTGCGCTCAGTCCGAACCAATCGCACATAGATCACAGGCTCGACCAATCGATTACACAGTAATGGCTCACATGGAGAAACAGTGTTTTGTAACCGTATCAAAACAGTTAGAAACATACTTTTCTTTCTTTTATTCTTTTAACAGACTTTTTTTAAGTGCATCACACATATACAGTTTCAGGTAGATCTGGTGGGTGCTGTGGGTATAACCAGTTTACAGCTTAAGGATAGAAGTTGTTCTTGAACCTGGTGGTTCTGGCTCAAACATTCTGATATCCCCTCCAGATGGCAGCGAGTGGAACAGGAAGTGGCTGGGGTGTGTGTAGGGTCTGAGGTGATACTGCTGCCTTTTTTTATTGGAAATGTCCTGTATGGGTGGGAGGACAGCTGCACTGATGGACTGGGCAGTTTACACAACCTTCTGCAGGGCCCTCCATTCTACAGCAGTAGAGCTGCTGTACCAGACTGTGACGCAGCTCATCAGGATGAAGTTGCAGAGGAGCTGTTGTGGCAGGTTGACTCTTCTCAGCCTCCTGAGGAAATAAAGGAGTTGTTGGGCCTTTTTGACAAGTGTGATGTAGTGAGTGACCAGGTGAGATTCTCGGCTGTATGAACTCAGAAAAAATTAAAGCAATTCGCTGTTTCCACCATAGTCTCCTCAATGCTCAAAGGTGTGTGCACATCTCTTTGGTTTTGTTTACAGTGAGGGACATGTGTACCACTCTTAGAAGTTTCACTTCCTCTCTGTATGCTTCTTCATTGTTGTTGGTGATAAGGCCCACTACAGTTGTATCGTTAGCAATATTGATGATGGTGTTGGAGTTGTGCTTGGTGATGCAGTCGTGGGTGTACAGGGTGAAGAGCATGGTCATTAGACACAGCCTTGTGGACAGACTGTGCTGAGAGTGATAGTAAAAAAAGTGTGGCCACCCATCCTAACAGACCGAGACCGGCTGGTGAAGAGATCCAGTATCCAGCTACAGACTGTGTGACTGATTTCTAGGGTCTTGAGCTTGGAGACCAGTTTGGAAGGAATAATTGTGTTAAATGCTGAGCTGAAATTAATACAAAGCATTTTTATGTAGGTGTTCTAAGGCAAACTGATGAGTATCTAGAGTTCTGGGGAGGCAATACTTAACATGGGTCAGGATCGGTCTTTCAAAGCACTTAATTATGATGGGTGAAATTGTGTGATATTGAGGCATGTGACATTGGGTTTCTTTGGTATGGGGATGATGGTCTCCAGACAGTGTGAGTACCGTCTCTTCTGCAGAGGGACCTGAGGCTTCACTGGTCAACTCAACAGCTTGGTTGATCTCAAAGCAGGAGTAAAATTAGTAGAGTTCAGTTGGGAGGAAAACAACTGTGGCCAATAAGCTGCTGATTTGCTCTTGTAGTCCGTCACTGCATGGATTTCCAGCCATGTGCGCCGAGGGTCTGAGTTGTTGACAAAGTGAGGTTGAATTTGCATGTGTGTCTGGCTGCTCTCAGATCTTCTCTGTTACCAGATCTGAAGTCTGTATCACATGCTTTAACTAGAGTGCGTACCTCTGCGTTACTGTTCATCCAGGGTTTTTGGTTTGGAAGAGTGCTTATGTTTTTTGTTTGGACTACAAAAAACGGCCGGTTTGGGCGCAGGTTTTCGTTCTAAACAAGAAGAGCCTACCTGATTCCACTCGTTTAATTAGTCAGTCTCAATCTTTAAACAACTGATCATGTGTGCTCCTGCTTTGTTGCAACCTGTGGCCAGACCAGCCCTTTGCGGACAACATTGGATACCTCTGGACTACATTATCCACACATTTCCTGATAAATCTAGAGACAGATGCATATTCATTTACATCTACCTGAGAGCCTCTGGTGGCTGATGTTCTGAACATGTCCCAGCATGTGCATTCAGAGCAGTCCTGCAGTGTTGATTCTGCTCCCTCTGGCCGCATACTCTGTTCATACTGAACTTTTAACCACTCAGGCACTGCTGGTACGTTAGCTTCATGAGATGTGAAAAGTGAACACTTTTCCCAAAGTGGGTGGGAGGCACTGTAAGCGTCCTTTATGTTCATATCAATATGATCTACTGTGTCTCTCTTAGATCAGACAAATCACATGCTGGTGGAATCTGGCGAGGACAGTTCTGAGATCTGTTTGATTGAAATCAGCTGCAATGATGATCACAGCCTCTGGGTGGAGTGTTATTTTCTGACTGCAGTGACAAACTTTGTTAGCACTAGCTTAGCATCGTATTGTATAGGAATGTTTACAGCCACAATGACTACTGTCAGCATCTCACCATATTCAAGTAGAACAGCTTAATAGTCTGTTGCTGCACCACTCATTGTTCAAAAACACACACAGCCTGACTTCCTTTGTTTTTAGCGAGCCAGCTGTTCAGTCTTCCTGGAATACTGTTAGTGAGCCTGGCATGCCGCTGTGGACCCAGATGAAATTACAAAAGATGAAAATACAACAGTTTATGATTTCAGTCTGGGTTTAAGCTTGTCTAGTTTGTTTTCCAAGGAGCAAACAGTTGCTAGTAGTAAGCTAGGTAGCAGTATCTACTTTAGCTGCTTTAGTTTAGCCTTTAGCCTGGCACACTGTCCCCACTTGTGTTTTTGTTCGCACGGCCAGTGTGGACACCTTCCAGTCGGCTTGACCCAAAGAAAGACATCAGTTGACTCCAGGCCGCCGGGGTGAACAAGGCGTTGCACAGTCAAGTCAAGAGGCTTTTATTGTCATTCCATCTATGTACAGTACACAGTGGAGGGAAACTGCATTCCTCCAGATGCAACACGGTGCAGCATGGAACAACATAGACAGTACCAAGTGCGAACGTGCAGACGTGAGTGTGCAAAAAGAATTAGACTAGAAACAACACAATAAATACGATAAATCAAACAGACATTAGACACGGTAAACAGACAGGACAGTGCAGCGCCGACACAGCACTCATTTCTGGACACGAGGGAGGGTTCGAAGATTATTTAACATGCTGTGATCTGTGAGTTACACAGTCAGATTATGATACATGTGAGCACAGCAGTTACTGAGGTAGGAAATACACAGTACTTGAGTAAACAAAGTGTAGACACTGTATTAACAGCAATGTTCCAGATGAAAAAAGAGCAAGTAGAGCATCAAAAGACGTGTGTGTGTGTGAGGGGGTTTTCAGTTCAGTGCTTCTGAGTTTAAAAACCTGATTGCTTGAGGGACAAACCTGTTGCAGAGTCTGGCAGTGATGGCACGGATGCTCCGGTACCTTCTGCCAGACGGCAGCAGTGAAAAAAGTCAGGGATGGGTGGGGTCGTTCATGATGCTGGTGGCTTTGCGGATGCAGCGTGTGGTGTAGATGTCCATGATGGAGGGGAGAGAGACCCCGATGATCTTCTCAGCTGTCCTCACTATGCGCTGTAGCGTCTTGCGGTCGGAGGCGCCGCAATTCCCAAACCAGGCGATGATGCAGCTGCTCAGGATGCTCTCCACAGTCCCCCTGTAGAACATGGTGAGGATGGGAGGGGGGAGATGAGCCTTCTTCAGTCTCCGCAGGAAGTAGAGGCGCTGCTGGGCTCTCTTGGCTATGGAGTTGGTGTTGAGGGACCAGATGAGGTTCTCTATGATGTGGACGCCGAGGAACTTGGTGCTCCTGACGATTTCCACAGCACAGCCAGTGATGTTCAGTGGGGGGTGATCAACCATCTCCTTAGTTTTGTCTTCATTCAGAGACAGGTTGTTGGTTCCGCACCAGCCTGTTAGCCGCTGCACCTCCTCTCTGTATGCTGACTCATCATTCTTGCTGATCAGACCCACCACAGTCGTGTCAGCAAACTTGGTGATGTGGTTTGAGCTGTACTTTGCAGTACAGTCATGAGTCAGCAGGGTGAACAGCAGCGGACTGAGCACACAGCCCTGAGGGGCACCGGTGCTCAGTGTGATGGTGCTGGAGATGTTATTACCAATCCTGACTAATTGAGGTCTCTCAGTCAGGAAATCCAGGACCCAGTTACAGAGGGAGGTGTTCAGGCCCAACAGGCTCAGTTTTCCAATCAGCTGCTGAGGGATGATGGTGTTGAATGCTGAACTGAAGTCTATGAACAGCATTCAGATATAGGTGTCTCTATTGTCCAGGTGGGTGAGAGCCAGGTGGAGTGTGGTGGAGATGGCGTCATCTGTTGAGCGGTTGGGGCGATATGCAAATTGCAGTGGGTCCAGTGAAGGAGGAAGCTGGTCTTTAATGTGCCTCATGACAAGCCTCTCAAAGCACTTCATGATGATTGGAGTGAGTGCAACGGGACGGTAGTCATTGAGGCAGGACACTGGAGACTTGTTCGGCACAGGGATGATGATGGTGGACTTGAAGTGAACGACTGCAGTGCTCAGAGAGATGTTGAATATGTCAGTGAGAACATCAGCCAGCTGTTCAGCACATTCTCTGAGCACTCTGCCCGGTATGCTGTCGGATCCTGGTGCTTTCCGTGGGTTGACTCTGTAGAGTTCTCCACACATCAGCTGTGGACAGACAGAGTACCTGTTCATTTGGAGGAGGAGTGGTTTCCTCGCCGTTGTGCCGTTCTGTGCTTCAAACCGAGCGTAGAAGTTGTTTAGCGCGTCTGGAAGGGAGGCATCACTGTCACAAGCAGGTGGAGGTGGCTTGTAGTTGGTGATGGCCTGGATGCCCTGCCACATGCGCCGTGTGTCAGCAGTGTTTTGAAAATGTTCATGGATTTTCTTTGAATAGGCGCGCTTAGCCTCTCTGATGGCCCGGGGAAGCTTGGCTCTTGCTATCCTGAGGCTTGCCTCATCCCCTGACTTGACTCAGCAGCACGCACACCTCAATGCCAATCACTGATTCTGTATACTCCTCCAGGCTGATGGAGTCACCAGAGGTTGCTGCCTCTCTGAACATCCCAGTCAGTGTGCTCCAAACAGTCCTGAAGAGCAGAGATAGCTCCTGGTGGCCAGGTTCTCACTTGCTTCTGGTCTGGTTTGGCGCGTCTGATGAGCGGTCTGTATGTTGGAATGAGCATCACAGAGATGTGGTCTGAGTAGCCGTAGTGGGGGCGGGGCTCAGCCCTGTGCGCGCTGGGGATGTTTGTGTAAACAAGATCCAGCATGTTAGCCCCCCGGGTTGCAAAGTCCACATACTGGTGAAATTTTGGGAGCACTGACTTCAGATTAGCATGGTTGAAATCTCCAGCAACAATAAACAGTCCGTCTGGGTGTGTTTTGGAGATCACTGATAGTGCTGTACAGCTCGTTCAGTGCGGCGTTAGCATTAGCACTGGGAGCTATGTACACCGCTACTATGAACAGCATATTTAGCTCTCTTGGCAAATAAAAAGGCCTGGCTCTGACAATCGCAAACTCCACCAGCGGTGAGCAGTGACTGGAGACTAGCGCCACGTTTCTACACCATTCAGTGTTGATGTAAACACACAGTCCCCCACCTCGAGTCTTACTGCACAGCTCAGCGTCTCTGTCCGCCGGAACCGGAACGTGCAGTGGAATCCAGCTGGAGGCTAAGTGTTGAAACTTTGCACCAGTTTCCAGTAACATTTGTCAGTAATAGAAAAAGTGTAGTTTGCTCATGTTACAGTGGGCAAAAATAGACTGCACAAATAAACAACAGAAAATTGCACGTAAGTGGGAAAGGTAGCTCAGCTGCTGCCATCTCCGCTGCCAGGGGCTGCTGTTTGGAATAGGAGTGATTGTGGAGGACCTCAAGACTTATGGGACTTTTTCCATGGCAAGAGAGGACTGAAAGAGTTGTTGTAAAACACTAGTCAGTTGTGTAGCTCATTACTTTAATGTGTACCTTGAATACCTGGAAAATACCTGAAATGCACTACTGCTTTTGACAGCTTGTGACCTATATTGGCATACTAGTTGAACTAAGTGAACTGAATCCTGCTACAACAGTTACTTGTTTCCCTGTTTTTATTCCTAGAGCGCACCTGAATGCTTAATTTTCTTGTTAAATCACTAACATTTTCTCTAGAGGACCAAACCTCCAGTCCTCCTAAAGAGGGCTGATTTCTGAAGTTGTCACCATTCTCAATGCTCATGAGTTTGCATGTCTGAATATAATAGCTGTTTTTATGTTGATTAGATGTTTTCCCATGTCTGACACTAAGTGTGAAGCACACCAAATAATATAAGTAATAATCTACATCAGTGTTTCTCTTTGAAAACAATATAAATATTTTGAGTTGTATTATAATAATGGAGCTTGTTGAATTTGAAGGTATATATTTGGCCACTGGATAGGAATGGTGCTCCCATTATGGCCCCACCTTAAAAAATCTTAGTATCAACACTGGTTCCAGAGACTTGTAAGATCAATGCCAAGTCATACAAGCTGTTCTGGTTGCTTGTGTTGGCCCCACGCTTTATGTTGTTTTTTCCTTTGTCACTCGTCTGTACCAAGTGAATCGTAAATAGCAGCATATTCATATTCATACTGTGAATTAGTTTAGAAACATCTCAGTGTCTTTCTGCATGCTATCTGTGAGACATTTCTGTTTGTAGGAAAACTGAAGTATCTGTGCTGTGTGTCTGGAAAAACGCTGAAAGCAGATGAGGAATATCTGAGAAAGCTGAATGAACAAATACCCAACCTGAAGGAGGTGTTTAATGTGGAGGAGTGTGACATCATTCTGGCTTTCTGTCCTGTTGTTTCTCGAGCTGGAACTGATATTAAAGCAGCGCTAGAAAAACTTCAGCATCTATCAGGTACCAGCATCTCAGACTAAAGCATTAATGTGCCTCTTTAAAAGTATAGTATTTTGAGTAGGGTTTGGTGATAAATTTATTTTCACTACATCGTATCTTTTTCTTTATAGACTCCAAACCTGCTGTTCTAGTGGTTCTCCATCACACATTTGACCCAGACTGCACTGTACCAGACAGCAGCAGAGCAGTAAAGAGAGAGGAAACTCTCACTGTGGACTGTCTGTTCCACGAGGATAGAGGACTCCTGAGCTGCCAGAGGAACCAGGAAGCTCTGGATAAAGTTACAGAGTGGATAAAACCTCTGGTAATTTATAGTGCAATACATATTGAATTATTTTATCATTCAAATATTTCAGGTTTTTAAATTTCCATCCAAAATTAGTGATTTGTCAGCTTGAATAGAAAACAACAAATGGCAAACTTTATATTTTAAGCTTTTTAAATATCTCATTGTGGATTAGCATTCCTAGCTTTCTCTCACACCCCACAGCCTTCAAAGTGTTATATTACACAAGTTCATATAGGTTATTTACTACATTTTAACTATTTTTTAAACTCTTGTTTTAGGTAAAAATTCAGAGTATACAACAGAATTGTAAGTAACACTTCTCATCAGCTTTGTTATTTACATCTTTTTAATTAGCAGTGCTTATGTATGATTTCTTAACTTCTTTTGCAATAACAGAGTTTCTAAATATTCCTAAAATTACAGAACAGTGCTTGATAGCTATTTTGTGTTACTGTCTGTTTTTTTCCTTTATCCAGTTTTCAGTTTTGTCACAAGGTTCTCTTTTACACGTCCACCAACACAAAACACCACAGATGCCAGAGTGAGTACTGAATCACCACACTCATTCTGCAGTCAAACTCCACTGTCACAATGTGTAGTGAGAGGTCATCATTTTTTTGGGTATGTTATGAAGGGAAGAGCACTGATGTTTACGTTAAGGGGTAATCCGCTGTTTGTAATGTATGTCAGTCACTCTGGTGTCTACACGCTGTGTTACATTGGAACTGATCAGCCAATCACTGTAAACTCTCAGACATAAACAAGAAAGTGGGGGGGCGAGAAGAGATGGGACAGAATCAGCATGGATGTAAGCATTTTCAACTTCCTTACTGGAGTTTCAGGTCTTTTTTTGGTTTCTTGCTAAATGAGTGCTATGTTTTTTGGATCATTTTGCTTCTTGCGTTGTCATGACTGAATGGTCAGACATTCAAGCAGTTCTGTGGAACTTTAATGTAAACAAAATGTTGAATGAAATGTTTTCCACTTTCCCTCAAGGCCGCCAAGTGTTGACCCAGGTTTGGTACTGCAAGTTCATATATAATCTTTCAGAACTGTGCCGTTGAGAGATCTCTTGCAGTCATGTGTCATTGGCAACCTAAAACACAAGATGTGCAGAATGTATTCATTAAGTTGTGTTTCTTTCCCTGTATGTGTACAAACTCCCTGTTTAATTGTAATTTGGGGGATTGAGGCACTTGTATATTAAAAGCTACTTGTGATTAATTTTTTGTGCATGCAGGTTTTAAGGTGGAGACGGAAATTACACCGCTTGACCAAAAGGTGTTTGCAGTAGTATCATGGTTGGAAATTCCTAAGGGTAGAGTGAATTAGTGATCCACCATCTAAATTCCAAAACAAAAGTTTAAATTCATAGTACTTGTTACAGTGTTATTAGAAGGCAGGTGGGATAGGACTTTAGACCATAGGACTCTAGAGTTTTCTACAAAGTCCAAAATGCACGAAATCTATCTAAACATGGAGAACATGATTTATGCTGTAATGCACCCTGTGATCTAAGTAACACTTGCTCTTTGTCAAAAATCACAAAACATTTGGCTACGTGTTCTCAAAAATGACATTAAACCCTGCCCTCTGATTGCCATATTTGACATTCCAAACACTTCGACCACCAAACAGGCCAAAAAAAACAAAAAAACAGACTCCTTGCATACAAACATTGCGTAATATTAAACAATTCCTTTTTGAATTCCTTTTTCATGTGTGTGTACGTTTATATGTCTATATATACATGTATAAATGCACGGAGACAAGAATTTAAGTTGGGTGGGTGTGTTTATGGGAAGCTTTAAGAATAAAATGACTATTAGATACAATGTTGTATACCACTGTACGTCCACACAATACTTGGGGGAGGTGTGGGGGGGATGTTATATGCAGAAATTCTAAATAAGTTTTCTGTTTTCTTATTCCTACAATCTTTCCACAGGTAGAAAATCTTCAACACCAACTTCTGAAAAAAGATGAAGCCCAAAATATCTTCTTTGGGATGGTAGAGAAAACACTGTCATTGATCAAAAATCAGAGACAGCTGGAAAACCCACAAGATCTGAGGAAACTCCTGAGTGAAACAGAAAAGCAACTGGAAAACATAGTACACAAGCAGGAAAAGGAAATGCAAGATAAAAGCATGAACACAGGTAAAAACAGTTATAAACCATGTGATCTAGAATGCAGACTAGTCGTGTTGGGTAGGGCTGAGTCTGACAAGAGTGCAGCAGGAAACACCATCCAGGAAGCTAAGAAAAGACAAGGAAACGTGGGAGATAAGAATCTCATTGTGCTGGAGACTCCTGATGGGTTCTTCTCTGGACTTTCTCAGGATGAAATCAGGAACTTTGTCTGTCTCTCCGCCCCTGGACCCCACGCCTTCCTCATAGTCATTCCAGTGAAAGAGTCTACAGGAGAGGAGAGAGGGATGCTGGAGCAGATGGAGGAGATTTTTGGAGATATATGTTGGAGGAACACCATCGTTCTTCTCACTGTTACTGAAGAAGAACAAAAGAGCAATGTTGAAGAGTTTATCAGATCAGGAAACCAGGAGGTTCAGAGACTGGTAGAGAAATGTGGGAACAGGTTTCACTGTCTCAACATTAAGGACAGTGGAGATGGTTCTCAGGTCAGAGACCTGCTGGAGAAGATAGAGAAGATGCTGGAAGAAAACACAGAGAGATTCTACAGCAGTGAGATCTACCAGGAGATCAGAGAAATGGAAAAAAGAATAATAAACAGAGTACTTACAAAGACAAAATTAGATATTCAGATCCATGAAGAAGTTATTGAAACATTTGATAAAAACAAAGCAGAATTAAAGGTTACTGACAAAGAATCAGCTCAACAGCTTGAGGCAGTAAAGAATGACATGAACAATCAGTGTGAAAAATTGAAGAAAAAAACAGCTGAAATGGAGAAGAGATATGAGCAGGACATAAAGAAGATGAGGGAGAAATATGATGGGGAGGGCTGGCCTAAGGATGAGGAAGAGCTGATGAAGATCATCCTGCCTGAGGTCCACTTCATGCTTTGGGACTTAAAGATGCAGGTAAAGAGGCAGGAGAGGAGGCAGGTAGAGCTCAGCAAACAGACGAAGGGAACACAGACTGAATCACTAAAGCAAAACATTGAAGAACCAGAAGAGAGCAGCTTTGAAACCGAAGAGACTGACCAGAGAAGAGTCAACAGCTCAGATCCAGAGGGAGTGAAGACCAGTGAAGAAACTCCAGATGAGTATTGAGAACTTTTAAGAATGCTGATGAAGACAGGGGCCCAGAGATTGAGGGGGTCAGTTCAGCTGCTTCAGGTGTTGAGTCAACTCAAAACACTCCTATGAGGAGTATCTAACCCTCTGGTGAGAATGAGATGAATTAAGGATCACAGAATGTAGAAAGACTGAAATAATATGATGAGTTGTATAGTGAAGTCCCATTGCTGTAAATTTGTGGGAAATCACATAAACCAATTGATAAGAATAGATACTATTAGCAAAGGTTAAGGTCTGGAGCATATACATGATACAACTTAATTCATATATAATCCATTTGTACTTTACTTTGCTCATTCTTTTTTTTTTAAATGTGTTTTTTAAACAGTATTACAGTGTTTCCATGATTTTTTTTACAGTTACAGTTTTTTACAGTTACAGTTTTTTCCATGAAAAAAAAAAACATTTTCCCTTTCCCAGCTATATCTATACACTCTTCAATCTCAATTATTACACAAATAAGCAACAATCGGGATCCACTCCAAAATAAAATTAGCCAAAAGCATAAGAAAATATTATTAACAATAATAAGAAGTAAATGTGAACTGAAAAAAGAAAGTGAGGGTTTAAAAAAAAGATTCCTCACTGCATTAGTAGATCTATAACAGGGCTCCATCTCTTTGTAAATGTATCTTTTTGAATTCTTAAAAAGAATGTTTTTTGTTCCATTTGGTAGACATCACACATCTATTGGATCCATAAATTATCTGTGGGAGGGTCTGGATTCATCCATTTAATTGTAATACACTTCAGAGCTACTGTTAGTAACATTCCTAGAAGGCCTTTCTTAGATTTTCCTTCTAAGTTATCCGGTATTACTCCCAGTATAGCCACTCTAGGATCTTGTGGAATATTCTGCTGAAACACTTCCTTAAGAGCATCAAATACTTGTTTCCAAAAGATCTGTAACTCAGGGCACAGCTGAAATATGTGAGTATGGTTTCCAATTTGTGCTCCACAGTTTCTCCAACATGAACTGTTATGTGTTTGACCATCTTTGACACCATTTCAGGCGTTCAGAAATATCTGGTGATGACTTTCCATTTGAATTCTCTCCAGATGTTTGAATTTGTCACTAGACTTGCTTCTGTTCGAGGTACTCTGTTATATCTCCATTTAGTTCTGATTCCCATCTCTGCTTTATATTTAAGGAATTATTTAGACTCATAGACAAGAACGTTGATACAATTTACAAAGCATTCTTCTCCCTCCATTCTCTGTTTGTAATTCCATTAAATAATTTTCTATATGTGTAGGTTTTACAATCTTTTCCCATTCTCAATCTGTAGTTAGAAAATGTCTCAATTGCAAATATCTAAAAAAGTCTGTTCTGGGGAGCAAATTCATTTTCCCACTGTTCAAATGTCTTAAGGTTACTCTCGTCCAATATTTGATAGTTTGGTTAAACTATATTCTGACCATCTTTTAAACCCTGTATCTAAACTGTTGGGCATAAAGATTTTCATATGTCCAATACTTGTTAACAGTGAGATTGTCTTGGGCAGCCTGAATATTGATTGTATTTTTTCCATATTTTAAGGGTAACTGCAGTCCATTGCCCCAATTCTTTTATAGGGGCATCCAAAAATGGTAAGACATTAAGGGGCACTGGGCACATACTTTTTGATATTAAACCAGCGTGTACATATATTATTCTGGATCCATGTTAACAAGGGCTTCATCTGTGCTGCCCAGAATTAATATTTTAAGTCAGGCAATTTAAACCCTCCATCTGATTTGGATAGCTGCAATGTTTTAAGTCTAATTCTTGGATGTTTTCTTTGCCATATGAACGGAGAAATCTGTTTATCCAAGTTATCAAAAATAGACTTTGGGACCTCAGTGGGTAACATCTGAAATAAATAAAGCAACCTGGGCAAAACATTCATATGTATACTTTCAATACGACCTAGCAGAGATAGAGGGAGTGTGGACCATTGGTCAAAATCTTTACTAATACAGCAAATTATTTTCTTATAATTAGCATCATAAAGGTTTTGTACAGATTTAGAGATGTGTATACCAAGATATTGGTATACCATCCTTTTGCCATTTGAATCCACTCTGGAGTTTTATACTTTGTGGTATTTTGCCATTAATATCCATAGCTTCTGTTTTTTCCACATTAATTTTATATCCTGAGTCATATCCATACTGAGAAATAAGGTCCTTTAGGTGTGATATCGTTGTTATTGGTTCTGTTAAGTACAGTAGTACATCATCTGCATAAAGGGATCATTTATGCTCTTCTGTATTTAATTCAGTTCTAGGACAGCTCATCAGAGATGATAATAATATAAAATATTATCATCTCTGATGAGCTGTCCTAGTGGTCGATACTAATTGCAAACAGCCCTGTCTACATCCGCATTCTAATGTAAATTAGCCATTATAGCTATACCCATTAACTCTGATGTCAGCCTGTGGATCTGAATAGAGTGTTTGTATCCAATTTGTGAAGTTACGGCCCAATTTAAACCGTTTTAGTGTTTGAAATAAATATTGCCACAACACACGATCAAAGGCCTTTTGGGCATCCAATGATATAATTATTGCTTCTTTATCCTTTGGTTGGACATTATATTAAGTAATCCTCTGATGTTCTTTCCATAGTATCTTCCAGTAATAAAAGCAGTCTGATCAGGGTGGATAATTTGGGTAATAATCTTACTGACATGTCCAGCCAAAACTGCTGTTAAATCTGCATTCTACAAATCTGCATTCAGCAGTGATACAGGCCTATAGGATTGGCATTCAGTAGTGATACAGGCCTATAGGATTGGCATTCAGTAGTGATACAGGCCTATAGGATTGGTATTCAGTAGTGATACAGGCCTATAGGATTGGCATTCAGTAGTGATACAGGCCTATAGGATTGGCATTCAGTAGTGATACAGGCCTATAGGATTGGTATTCAGTAGTGATACAGGCCTATAGGATTGGCATTCAGTAGTGATACAGGCCTATAGGATTGGTATTCAGTAGTGATACAGGCCTATAGGATTGGTATTCAGTAGTGATACAGGCCTATAGGATTGGCATTCAGTAGTGATACAGGCCTATAGGATTGGTATTCAGTAGTGATACAGGCCTATAGGATTGGTATTCAGTAGTGATACAGGCCTATAGGATTGGTATTCAGTAGTGATACAGGCCTATAGGATTGGCATTCAGCAGTGATACAGGCCTATAGGATTGGCATTCAGCAGTGATACAGGCCTATAGGATTGGCATTCAGCAGTGATACAGGCCTATAGGATTGGCATTCAGTAGTGATACAGGCCTATAGGATTGGCATTCAGCAGTGATACAGGCCTATAGGATTGGCATTCAGTAGTGATACAGGCCTATAGGATTGGCATTCAGTAGTGATACAGGCCTATAGGATTGGCATTCAGCAGTGATACAGGCCTATAGGATTGGCATTCAGTAGTGATACAGGCCTATAGGATTGGCATTCAGTAGTGATACAGGCCTATAGGATTGGCATTCAGTTGGGTCTTTGCCCTCTTTATGTATTACTACTATGACTGCTTCTTTCCAAGAGGGGGCTAAAACTTTAAACTCAAACGTATGATGGTATTCTTTTAATAACAAAGGACATAAGAAGTCTTTAAAGGTTCTGTAAAATTCATTAATAAATCCATCTGGTCCTGGGCTTTTATTATTTTTCAGATTCGAGATCACCTGCTCAATTTCCCCTATTGGTTCATCTAATTCCTTGGCCATTGATTCTGTTAGTTCTGTCAAATTTATGTATTTCAAGAATGTTTCGAGTTGTATGTCCTCAGAACAAGTATCAGAGTTTTTGTATAAACACTGGTAAAATTCTGCAAAGGATTCTGCTATCTCATCTGGTTCAATATAAAATTTAGCCTTCTTAGATTTTATTTTCTGCACTATGTTAGATGATTGTTGCTTTTTCAGTCTAAATGTCAATAACCTACTTGCTCTGTCACCATATTCATAATATTGCTGGTTAGCAGATCATAAGCTTCCCTCAACCTTCTCTGATAGCAAACTGTTAAGTTCTCTTAGAGCTCTAACAAGACTTTGTGGTTTGTTTATGTTGCTTTTTTAAATCCTTTATTTTGTCCTCCAGGTTCTGCTGTTTGGCGTTCTTTTTTCTTTTCTTGGTGCATGTATATGAAATAATACGACCCTGGATATATGCTTTAGCAAAGCCCCACAATATAAGAAGGGAGGTTTCTGATGAGATATTAGCATCACAATAATTATTAAGCTCTGTTAAAATAAAGGTGGTTTGTGCTTTATCATCAAGGGGGGATGCATTAAGTCTCCACTGTTTAGAGATTGGCTTATGGCCTATATGCCACTTAAGTGCAATGGGTGAGTGGTCAGAGATCGTAATAGGTAATATTTCAATATCCATTACTCTATGCAGCTCTGACTTGGGCATAAAAAAGTAATCAATCCTAGACTAAGATGCATGCCTATGTGAATAGTATGTAAAGTCCTTATTTCTTGTGAATTTGCTTCTCTAAACATCTACAAGGCCCAACTCGAGAGATTAGTACTTAAGCATTTTACTCATTTTAGAGAGGGGAGTTTTCGATTCAAGTTGTCTATCGATAGGTTGTGACAAAACAGTTTAAATCCCCTCCCATCAATAAAGTTCAGTGCTATGTTGTATTATACTATCAAAATTATTTTGATAAATCTAAGTTTATCTTCATTTGGTAAATATACATTTATAAAGGATACTTCAGTGTCTTTATATATTAGCATTGGTGTGAAATTAATTTGTCTATGTATCAGAATAGATACTTCCCTTTTCCTCCCTGACTGATGTGAAGAACAGTTTACTTTATCTGCCCAGGACTTTTTAAGCTTATCATGTTCGTCATCAGAGAGATGGGTTTCCTGTAGAAATGCTATCTGACAATTCAGTTGCTTTAATTGGTTTAAAAGTTTCTTTATTTTGATAGGGCTATGAAGTCCCTTAACATTATAGCTTATAATTTTAAGTGGTTTCATTATTTATAGTTTAGAGTTTGTGCCTTAATCTGTTAGTGATGGAAATATATAATTGCAAATATATATTCTCGTCATGAGAAAGGATATTGAATAATAATAATATATTAAAAAAATTGTATACATTCTTATCTTCAGAGAAGTCCATTTAAAAACCTGGGTAAGGACACATTAAGGTGGTCTTATTATCCTTATTCTTAATGCATAATCCTGGGGTAACATTAGGATCAGAACAAGTAAAACGAAAAACAGTTCAAATTTGAATTCGCTGTCATGCTTAACGGGGATATGGGGTCTAGTACATATCCAGTCGGGCCGCAGAGTTAGCAAGCAGTAAAGGGCACAGTGTAGATGGAATTTGACTGTTCTTATGAGTGCTAAGATACAAGAGGTGTCAGGCTTTATTCAGACCCCTGCAAAATCTCTTACATGTGAGACATACAGCAGAATGGCATTGTAACACGGCATGTGCTATCCCGGGCTCAAGGAGGACGCTGGAGGCAGGGTTTAGGGTTGCAGCAGCCATCTCTTTAATCCAAAACAACCAAAAACAGACAAACCGAACAATACAAAGAACCTAAGCTGGCCCCTCTTCAGTGGCTTCAGTCCCTTTATCCTCAATAAGGAGCTTTCCAGCTCCTCAGTCGCTCTTGTTGCTGCTGCGTGTCCCTCTCTCTCTCTCTCTCTGTTCCCTCTCAGCTGTTTTTAAAAGGCGCTCACGCTGCCCGCCAGATCAGCATCAGCTGGCTCTCATTAAGGCAGCGCGAGCACCTGAGCCGAGAGGGAACGAGAGCTCGCTGCTCCGCCTCCTCGTCACCGCCCCCAGCTGGCAGCTCAGCCGCCCGGGTCGAAGGTGAGGTGTAGTGGCGCGGCCTCTCTGCGTAACAGGGGGCGGGGCCCAGGCGGCGGAGCTCGGGACTCGCTCCTTCCCCTGGTGTCTCTCGTTACCGGCACCATCGTCGTCTTCTTCCTCCCGCCGTCACTCGCGCCACTCTGAAGAGCTCGGGCTTTTCGCTCCGCCCCCTCCACACTCGCGGCTCTCTTCCTGCCGCCCTGGCCGAGGTTCGTCGCCGCTGGGTGTTCGGGCCCCGCCTTCCTGCCGACTCTCGCGGCCGTCATCGTCGGGGCCCGGGGGGCGGGCGCATGCCACAGGCATATAAAAATAAAACTGTTCACAAAACACCTTTCTGACTACCTTTACGCGTCTGGCAATAAGTTCAGAAAAAAGAGCTTAATGGATGGTGCCCGGCACAAACCTACGCTGACAGAGTACACAGACAATCTAATAATGATCCTTGTGGTCCCCGCAGCATCTTCCTCACATCTGTGAATGCTGCTCTGGCTTGGGCGACTCTAGAGGTGTAGTGTGGGAATACAGCTATGCGTTTCCCGCTGTAGCTTAGCTCTGTCTTGGGCTCTTCTCAGAACTTTCGCAGCACCTCCATCATAATGCAGCTTGGCGTTGATGACCCGCGACTTGTCCCCTGGTTTCCATTGGACAAGCCTGCGATGTGACCATCTTTATATCTCGGCCCATCTGCAGTACTTCTTTAAGAAGTTTGGAAACAGCTGCAGGAGAGCTCGAGTCTGGTTTTTCATCCACATCAACTTCCACATCCGTATATTCCCCCTTGTCATTCTGCCATCCAAATCTTCGTTCCTTTCTCTGAGCTTTTCGACTTCACTTTGAAGGCAGGCTACAGTAGTTTGAAGTGAGGCCGCTTCATCAGACCATGTGGACAGTCCTCCTGCCATGTCTTTAAAGTCTGCCTTCATGCGGTCCATTTCAGAGTCCTTTTCAAGGCATTAAAGTCTACAACTAGTGCAGTTTTCAGTTCTTCCCTGATTATTTTAGATATATCTTCCCTCAGGGATGACAGGATATCTGACTTGATTGCTTCAGTGCTCGTACCTGTAGCTTCGGACCTTGTAGGCGAGGCATGTTTTGGGCTACCTGAAGTACAGTGTGTCGAGGGGGGTGCAGGCCTCGCTGGGTTGTATTTATATTTTCGAAGATTTGTCACCATTCAAGTTGATATTCCTGCTTCAATTTGAAA